ATTTTGCTCATAGATAGTAAATTAAACAAAATTCTGTACACCCAGAACCCGTTCAAGTTAAGTTATGCCCAAGATTCACTCGACCCAAAGCATGAACTGTGCACAGTGTCACCATTCGGAATTTGAACAGGTGGAATATCAGGATTTTCAACCATGTTAGATAAATTGTTGATTTGATGGTAATATGATCTGTGGCCCCAATATCAATTACCCACCGAATTATCTTTCTTACCAGAAAAGTTCACATTGGAAGCCATGTGACTACTCCCATTGCTATGCGGTATTGTCGGTCCAAAGATCTATCAGTTGCTGAATATGAGCTTGTGTTATGGCCAGGAACAAGTGAGGAACACTCCTGAGGCGTGCCTGTCAAAGTTGTCGAAAGTTCTTGGCCCCTATCACTGCGTACACGTGCTTGGTCTCCTCTAACTTTCGATTTCCTTTGCCAATCTGTCGGGTAACCAACAATCTCATAACAATCATCACGGGTGTGACCGATCTTGTCACAGTGCGAGCAACGAGGACGAGAACCTTCACCACTACGTCGATCTCGCTGTTCATTGCGTCGATCAACTCGTTGATCCCCAACCTTCAGTCCGTTGCCACGTCTTGCACTATCGGTGGCTTGATTTCTAACCATTAGGGCTGTTCCTTCGGGCACCATGGCTCGTGACGCAACCACTGCTATCTGTTTTTCTTCTTGTGCTGCGATTGCATAGACTCGTCCAATGGTAGGCAAGGGTTCCATGCTAAGAACTTGTGACCTAACGATTCTATAATTATCATCCAATCCCATTAAGAAATCGAATACTTTTTCTTCCTCGCGCATCTCCTGCATCTGCCTTGTCACACCACAAGTGCACTTTCCACAGGAACAAACAGGTAAAGGTCGAAAGGTTTGAACTTCATTCCATAGTGCTTTCAATTTTCCATAGTAGGAAGAAACTGGAACTTTCTCTTGCCGTAAGAGCTGCAATGGCCCGCCTGAGTTCATAAACTCTCATGGAACGAATTGAGCCAATGTCGTTGTAAGTGAACGTTCTTTTAAGGTCTGCCCATAACTCACTTGCATTCTCTGCATGTACTGCTCCACCCTGCAACTCTTTGCAAAGAGCATTATTAGCCAGGATAATACTATTGCATTACAGCTGTAGCGCACAAATTCTTAGACTTGAGTGAATTGACGTAATATCACGATAAATCTGATGAATCTGAGTCTCCATACGCAACGAATCCTGCTTACTTTTGTTGTAAGAGAAAGAGGCAAGTTTGGAATAACTGCCGCCGTCCAAGTGAAAATATATCTCCTGTTTCACTTAAAAGGTATGGGTGACAATATTAAACCCAGGATCTGAATCGAGAGAGAATGTAGAATAACTAGGGTAGATTTAAAGGTATTCGGACCAAGGCTGATTCGACATACTCAACTACCTATGGTTATACCGAAACTCACGTTTGCCGTTATCTAACTCTCTTCAGCCCTTAATACAGTCCTGAAGAATTATAAGCTTAGGTTGTGCTGCAACCCGCATCTGATACCTAAGAGAGTAATATATACTCCTTTGACGATTGAATTTGTTATTGAAGAAACCACTAGGTTTACTAACAGAGTTATTCATTGCAATACAAAAGGAATAAATAATCATGCAATAAAGGAAGAATTCCCTAAGATCAAGCTATATAATCTAAGAAAAATTACAAATCAAATCAATTAGAGATAACCAATGCTCAATCAAAAATCATACATTGAAATGGTAATATGTAAATAGAATAATAATTAAGATAACCTTCATTAGTCTCTACGCTGGGGGACCAAGCAAAGCAATAGATATAGTGTGTCGTTTGGCTTAATTTTCCTATCAAATTTTATTTTGAGATAATTGGTCATTGTACTATGATCAGTGAGATTTAAGATTTGATGCTCAACAGCTCAAAAACTCGTGCAATGACTTTCAGCTTGATCACCTTTGAATATAGAGACTAACCTCTGTAGGCTTCTGTCTCAGTAGTACAGTTCAATGCCCTGTTAATTTTAGGCAACACACTTACTTTATCCCTGCAGCCAAAGATAGAAAAGGGCTTGAGGTGGTGGGGGTAAGATAAAGTTTGTTAAGTGTTAACAAACAGTTCTTATATACTCGATCTAGTTAAGATGTTATTTGCATAAAAGAATATGTATTGTGGTAGTTGATACAGTATTCTTCTTAAATTAGACGAGAAAAGTACATTAAATAAGGAATAATTATTCCTAGAATATTACCTTAATGAAAGTGCTTGTGGACATAAGGTAACACAACCCAATTATTTGTTTTGATGTTTTATATTGGTATAAGCAACTCCGTAAGAGGCAGACTCACATTCCACTATCTGAATATTAACACCTTTAATCCAGGAAACTGAAAGATAAGAAAGTGAATGAAGTCTTGAACCTTATCAACATAAATTTCAGCAAAAGAGAACCACTTTTCTCGTGGGAATGAGACAAACAAAGACTACTAGTCAACTAGTGTGCACGCAAGTTATGGGGGATGGTGGTTGGAACTTGGAAGTAGTGGAACAGTTTGCTCTTTTAGTGGGAAGGAAATTGACCCGTTAAACACCTAAATAATCGGAAAACACTAGCGTTGAAACCCATCTTCTTTCTCACGTATTGGTGGGAGGTTAACACTGTGGCAAAGACCCTCACTGCCTCAGCCCAACTAACTATGATTACACGATGAGCAAAACAATAAAGAAAAACGCATTTACATTGAAGGAAAAGCAATTGGGAAAGGAAAGGACTGGGAAATGACAAGCAGATGGAACATACTTGTTGTGGGGCTTTTAATTCCAGGCCAGTGGAACCTGGGAAAGGGAGGGTGGGTTAACATCGTTGTCAGTGTAACTTCAACGTCCTCTTTTATGGGTGTTGCTTTGCCTGTGTCTGATTTGCAGGAATTTATATATCGCCAACTGTAATCGTTCCACTGGTTTTCTGGGCTGGGACCATGGACCATGCCAATTTATGAGCATTGACATAATTTGACATAATGCTGCTTTAACAATGTAATGAGGTTGTTCAAGCCAATTTAGTAGTTGTTTAAGTAGTGACATCATTATTTTCTTGCCAATAACGGGCACACAATCTTATCAAGTTGGGTTATCATAATTATGTGCTTTTAGCTTTATTTGTGTTAACTTTAGAGTCTGTACAATTGGTATGGCTACTGTTGGTACTTAAGCCATCGTTATTATAGTTGATTTAGTTACTAACAAATTGTTGTGTGAATTGGCCTGCCTCTTCAACTAAGGAAACCTAAGTTGGGTAGTGAAGGTCCACTTGGCTGAGATCCTGCCCATCAAGGAGTCCGACATAGCCAGGCTTGAGGTCCAGAGGCTACAAGCAAGGTGGCTCATAGAGCCCAAATGTAGCTTCTCCTCTTTGCTAATGCAGGCCCATTTGAAAAGTAGGAATTGGTGCCTGGTGTGGTGGCCGCAAAAAAATCTGCCTCCAGCGACATCTGCCAGGAGATTTTAAATGCGAACAAAAAGTTGGGTACTGAAGTGAAAGCTCAATACACGATCAACTAGGATCAAAACCTAACCACTCTCCTCTTATATAAAATTCATTTTATTCCCATCAAATCCATGTCTGATACGGACTACGCATTGTAGCTCAGGGCGAAACAAGAAAAACAGCTAAACAAATGGCAGATGGAACCAAAGACAGTGATTACAATGATGGGTGAGTCAAATCTAATGCGGTGTCACCTCTGATGATCACATGAAATGAATCTGTCACAAACGATTATGAATAATATCTTACGTGATATTCCCAGTGTAGTAGTCTGCCAGCATTTTGCAATAATGGCTCTGCATGGTGTAGAAATTGTGATAGAAGTACTGGTGGGAGATAACAACTATAATATATATATATATATATATATATAAGTTTAATCTCAGCTTATTAGTTCAAGCCTTCAAAGTTTTGATGGTTTGTTAAGATGGTATTAACTAATCTATCAGAGCTTGCTTAAGTACTTTAACAATTTAAAAATTTTAATCTTTTGAGTCTTGACATCTTTTTCCACATGACAAGTATCAGAATACTACTGTGTTTGATTGTGAAAGGAACCCCAGTTTCATTGAATATTCGCCTTGCGGAATCTGTCAAGCATACATTACATCCGTTTTATCTATTTCCTTGGCCAATTTCGTATTAGTAAGCATAAGAAACATTGACTTCTGAATTATTCTTCGGTCTTCAACGGAAATGTCAGGCTCATGAAAATGGAGACCCACCCGCCCCTTTCTGGGTTCAACTTACATATTCTTCAAGGGGCCACTTGTTCCAAGATATATATATATATATACATAGCGTATATTTTGGCCTAAAAGACCAGGAAGCGAAGCATATCCTTCCTTTGTTGCTGAAGAAGACGGATTCGGATTGTTTAAACTTAACCGGTCTCCTTATCAAATTTGTTAACTTAATTAGAAAGTTAAATCTCAACAATCTATGTTTGAACTTTGAATTACGGAAATTGCCAAGAATTAGATCTGGGTTTACTGCCAGCTGTCCATATTTTTTACTAATTTCTTATGCCAGCTTAAAAAGTTTGAACGAGCTCACATAGGAAGTTGCTAAGAACTTAAGAGAGTCCTGTCGTGTTTTACTTAGCTGTCAATATGGGCTTTTCCTATTTTTAATTTTGATTTTTGACAAGTAAGTAGGTCCTGAAACATACAAATCAAACTATAAGCACAAGTAGAGTTTGAAGCTTGAATCTTGAATTTTGGGAACCCAAGAAATTTCTTGGAGGGAGAGACGTACGACAGGGCGATCGGCCCACAGCTTAACAGCGCCAGACTGATATTAGCTATAACATATGGAACTTTTGTCCTTTCTTTTTACACGACAAAATTAAACAACGTTTCCGTCACACAAGCCACAAGCACATGACAATGAAACCTTATACTCTGATTGTTTCCTTACGATTTCTCCAACAATGGAACAACAATAGGAATAAATAATATCGTACTAATGCCTCTGAAAGTACAATACATAATTTATCAGTAGGTACAGACAGAAACATGGAACCCTCTTCTTAGATCAATCAAAATACGAAGATGTATATGCACAGTACATGCATTTAATATGTAACTCTGCTTAATATTCTTTTTCATTCATTCAATTTTTTTTTGTGTTTACCAATTAGTAACAGCTAGCTGAATTCTAATCTATCAAGGAAGATGATGCGTGATAAAGAATTAATGAAACAAACGAGAATCAACAAAAAAGAAAAAAACCACCATTAATGAACCCTGCTGGTCAGCATCTCTCTCATAGTCCGAGAGTGCATCAAACCAGCAGCTTCCTCCATCCTCTTACTGCTTCTTGGATGAAGCAATTTTGACAAGAACCCATTTTTCTTCTTCTTATCATCACCTTCTTTCCTTCTCATTCTCGAAGCAAAAGCTACTGATCTGCTCTTAGTGAGTATATTTTTGCCGCTAAACAATAACAAAGTCAAGGAAGTACCCTTTCCTTCTGTAGTAAAACGATAACGATGCATGGGAGAGGAACAAGAACTAGCTGAAGATGAAGAATAGTAAGATGACAAAGAAGAAGAAGAAGAAGAGGAAGCTGTAGTAGTAATACTACGTGAGCTAGTATGAGCTGATAATTGAGATAGTTTCTCTCCCAAACAAAGTGAACAAACCCCTGGCGACTGCCTGTGCTTTGGGTGTCTTCTGCATCCTTCATTCGGCTTCGATCGTCCACCTGCAACATTCTTTGATCTGCTTAAGTTTGCCATTAGATTTTTACTTATCATCTTGCGGCAGTCTTGGTCCTGGCTGCGCCTTTAGGCTTTTGAGTACATAAACAAAACCAAAGTATATATAAAGCTAAGAGTGGGTGCGTTTCCAAGAGAGTTCATGGGAGGTTTCCTTGCTGATTTCTTTCAATTTCGCTTTTGACTGTATCTGTTTTTATGGTGTTGGAAAAGTTGGATATGGAATAAATGAACGGCATTGATTGAGAGAAAGTTGGATGGGGTCCACTAGATTGTTGAGTCGGTGGTTGAGATGATTTCTATAGAATCGGTGAAGTGTGGAATGGGACAAGCTTTCTGTGAGGGCGGCGTAGAAAATCGAGGAAGTCTTCATGATAACAAAAAGTAGTTTAAAAATAACATTTAAAAATAAGAGGTTTTTAAAAATATTTTTTTATAATTTTAACTAATTTTATTTAAATTAGATAAAATTATCTTTAATAATATTACATAATTTATATAATTATATATCATATTTAAAAAATATAATTATTACACATAATGTATAAAAGCATATTTCACTCTATAATTAAAAAAAGTTATTACATGTTATGTGAAAAAAATATTACTATTACATGTCATGTACAAAAACATGTTATACGTCATTATTAAAAAATGTTTACACATCATGTTAAAAAAAATATTATTATTATACATCATGTTAAAAAAATATTATTATTACATATCATGTTGAAAAGTTATTATTGTTACACGTTATATTCAAAAAAAATCATGTTACATTTTAATGCTTAAAATGATGTTGTTACTAACCAAAACTTCAAATTCTCTTAATCCTTTTCATTTTTTTTTGATAGTTTGACATCGATTAAAGTATTTCTAAAATATTTTCATAAATCAAAACACATATTTTTTTATCTAAAACACCTATTGCAACTAAAACTTAAAAAAAAAATTCATTTGAAACTTTAAGTTTATAAATTTCAAATTTTTGAGTTTATTCGTGTTTAATTCTTGAATTAATCTAATTAAAAATTATATCAAATATTTGTGATCATTTTTATCATATTAATTTCATTCAAAATATCTAAAAATCAAATTCTTCAAATAACCACTCACCTCAAACATATCAAAATTATCGTTTGGTGTCTTGAATGACAGGAGAGAGAAATTAACAACATAGTAGACGAATGTTGAAAAGAAAAATCGATAAAATTAAAAAAAACTAAATGGTGAAAGAAAATTGAAAACACAGATAGAGAGAAATTATGATGAATAACTTAATTCATTTGTAATAGTTTTAATAGTACTTTTGTTAAGTCATAATTAAATATGATTAAAAATAATTAAATTTATTTGGATAATTATTTTTAAAATATTTTTATTAAAAATTTATTTTTCACAATTTCTTTTAATATAATAATATTTAGCCATTACAAAAATGAAATGTTAAAAATTGTAAAATATAAATTAAGTAAATGCCCAATCAGCCTTTTCCACGTTAACATGCCAAGATAAAATTTTTCAAATACTTTGCCAAAAGAAACCATGGAAGTATGGAGCCGGCTTTACTGTTTTGTCTCTCTGTATTTTCAGTGCCATGTCTTGAGCCCCCAAAGAAATATTCTTATCGCCATTTAACCAACCCCCAACAATTTATTTACTACTAATTGTTTTTATCCAAAAAGTTATTTATTCACTATTTATTTCTAAATTTGGTGGATTAATATTTGGGGTAACAAAAGCCTAAAAAGAGTTTGACCGTTTATGGTATTTTTTTAAATTTAAATTTGAATTTTATTCTGTGAATAGAATTGTTACTATAGAACGACAATTAAGGAAAATAATAATCAAATAAGTGAGTACAATGAGTGCAAATTAAGTCTTTTTAGTCTAAACACATGGGTTGACTTAATTTTTGTTGTTTTTTGTTGGTAGAGGAGGTCCCTCAAAATTTGATTCCAGCATCCTCGCATAAGGGTATATTGGCATGTTAAGAGCATGCTTAATGAAAGAGAAATTGACTAATGAAACGTCTAACACATGTTTAATTGGTGGTTAATAAAGAGTTGGAACTCGTAATCCACATGCATGATCAGTTCTTTCTTCATCAATTTCACATTTTAACTTTTGCAACACACACAGACTATGCCCAAATGGAATGATCTTATCCTTTCACCCTTCTTTTTTTTGCCTTGCAGCTTGGGAAGAGGATGGCTTTTCTTTCCCGACTTTATACTAGAATCCTTTAATTTCACCTCATTTCCAAGTGGAACTGTGGGCGAAAAAGAAGCTTTTGTTTAGTGTAATCAAAGCAAATTAAGCAACTGGGAAAAGGAGCTGGTCGAACACGTCAAAAGCAAAATCCTCTGAGTTGGGAGGAAACAAACAAGGCTGGTCTACTGAGTCATCTGGGACAAAGATTTTATTAAAACGCGGGAGCCTGGTAGGATGTGGTACTTGGAAGCAGGGAGGGGGAATCCTTTTAGCCTTTTAAAGGCCCAGTACATCTGTAATGTCGCAATAAAGGCTTTACACACTCATCTCTACCTAAATTTATATCTCCTTCAAAATTTCCTGCTCTACCATGGCCAACCTGTTGAGTTTGACTCTGGGAATGACAACTAGAAAACGCTACGTATGTCGACCGTGTGTACTAAAGACTTCGTATGTCGGCCTTGTGTATATTTGGTAACATATTAAAACTCCAAAAGAACACGATAAGGACACTGATAAGCTTGACTTCATTCGTATTAAACTAATTGAGCTTGACACCGCTTGCTGATTGCTGAACGTTACAGTTATTGGATAGACACCATAAACTAGAGAGTTTGATGAGAGGATACTTCCGATTTAGTTTTGCAACAAATTCAAAAGCAAAATTGATGAATCCAAGGAAAGGAATTTCAAGTTTACACCCGTCATCCCAATAAAAAGGGATTGAAAATTTTGAGACAGATGAGTTCATATGCTTAAGACAATATCATCTCATTGTGCTATTGATGGGTTTCAGCAAAAACATGTTATATGTTCATCTAAATGATGCTCTCCAATTGAAATTTCATACATTTATCTTAATCAACCATATCTCAATATTACAGGTAATTGTTAATAGTTTAGTAACTAGCACAAGAATAGAGAACTGCCAAGGACCCCAGCTAGTCATATGATACCATAAGAACATGTTCCAACTTGTTCAACATAACTGCAGTCTGCAGTTAGATGAGAAAGAAAAAATCAAACAATTCTTCTCACTCAATCTGATTATTTAGCTAATTCAGAAGCCTCTGTGGTTTTGACTTCTCTCAGGCACTGGGATACATAAGGTTTAAGCTGCAAGAAGAACAAGGACAGCCTAGATCAGCACAAGATGCAGACACTTCATCGGCAAAGACAAAGTAGACAGCTCAGACTGTTTGGGAAACAAAATAGCCATTAACAACTGTTTAGGGACATCAAGCCACAGGTGCAAAGTGTGTGATGAATGCAATTCTCCTTTTGGGCCAATCCACTAAATGAATCAAGTGTAGAGATCACCAAAACATGCCAACTCTCAGCTAAAATTAAAAAGAAAGGTCAGTGATATAAGAAAAACATGCTTAATCAAGATGAGGCCTCAGTATTGGACAAAATACACCCCTCTTTCAGGCACAATTAACGTGATAAGTGGGCTTCCCAATACCAAGATCACAAATCCAAAATAATCAGGACACCAACCCAGAAAAGTGCAATTCTTTGATATATGCATGATTTGGTTTGGCAAATCCAGAATTAATTTTTTAGAAGTGAAACCTAACTTACAATTCAATCAGCAGTTTAAGACCATTTTAGTAGAAAGCAAGAGAAGAAATGGCTATGGGTGGGTGGCAGAGAGCATAATGGTTCAGTTATCTGGGCTGATTCAGTTCCACAAAGACAAGAGACCTAGTTCCAGCACAGTCAACCACAAGGCCTCTATACTATCTGCGAGCCCCCCCATGTACAAGATGAAGCCTTAAAAAATCAAATTTCTAGGGTCACGACACTTCCATGCTATTTACTAAAGCATCTGAAAGCATAACCTTTTTCTGAAATTGCCCTAGGAACTCTGGAAAGGGGAGACTAATAAGTTCCCGGACAACCAGTGATTTGCGCCTCATTAGAATAATCAATCCACAAATAGAAAAATGGAAATTTTAAAAAATGAAAGTAAGGAGTAAAATTACCTTGAAGTCAGTCAAATCAGGAACCACATAGTTGGGTAACTTCTCCTGCATCAGAACATATCCACCTGCAGCATATTTTTCAGTTACACATCAAACAAAAAGCATATACATACAGTTCAAGCATTTAAAATTACAATGTTTCATGCAAAAGTCCAAAATAATTGGATTATAATTCAAACTATGTATGGTAATATGGAACTTGTATTTGTAATTTTTTTTTTTTGAATGGCTAGTATTTGTAATTTTTCATGACATGACTCTACTATTAATAACAAAACTCGCAATTTTAGGCATACAAAATACCAAATTTTTTAACTTGTAATCATAACCTGAAAGCCTAATAACTTGATCTTCTTTAAAAATTCAAAGCTAGCAATGCATATCTCATTGGACTATTAAAAGAACTTTAGGCCGCATATATAGACATGACTACATTCATGTCCACTAGATGATCAACTATAACTCAAGAACATAAAAAGCAGATGCAGAGCGACTATAATGATAATATGCAGCATTGAGTCCTGTGACATTTCGATAATATACATTGAAAATTCTATATGATAATTCACAAAAGTATAGCCAACCACCGTGATTGATTCAAAATCATCAAGAAGATAAAAATCAAGTATTTTTCAGAGTTCATAGTTTTAACATACTGAACCTCAATAAAATGAACAGAGATAATAACCATTCACTCAATTAACCAACACCAAAATTAAATCAATCAAAGATTCCAACAATAAGTCAATTAAAAATACTCAATTCTTATGCTTATCAAAACTAACAATAATCACTATCCCTCAAAACCAACCCAAAATAATAAAGAGCATTAAAATTTGAGGAGAAGTGTATGGAACCTTTGCGAGTGTGGAAACCCGTAGACTTGCAATTCTTTCCCTTGTAGTAATCTCTTGGGGCCCGTTTCGACGAGAGAATGTCGAGCGATGAGGTACGCTTCCTTCGAAACGCCCTTCCTATCCCTAATATCAGGCCCAGCGGCATTTTCCCCTCGTTTTAAGCAAATTTTTAAACCCTGAAAAACCAGAAATAAGCCATCATTATTGGATTAAACAAATTGATCACCCCTTATTGTCAGAACTAGAAAGAAACTCACTGGTTCGAGGGCTTAGCAGATCGGAGAAGCAGAACTGAGCAGGGAGGGGTTTTAGGGGCTTTCCTGACCTTTTTTCTTCATGAGAACGACGATGATCCACTAGGCCCAGGAAAATTTGGGCCTCAATTTGTTCGGCTGAAAGAAAGATTGTAATATTAGCCCAAACTTCTGGACACGTTAAATTAATTTGGTGAGATTCTATTTTCATACTATTCCATCTTTATTTTTTATGTCCCAACGATCAAAACTACTACTTTCTTTATTAAATTTTGTTTAAGCATTCGGTACTTTATTTTTATATTCTAAGAAAATTAATTCATTAACTTTTGGATATTGAAATTAAATAAATAGCATAAAAAATTTAAAATTTTAACCGTAATACTTACAAAAGTTTTCAAATTATTCAAAAAAATTTAAATAAGTTTTTATTCTTTTATTATATTCAATTAAGTTCTTATGTTTTAATTTTATGTTTAATAAGTCATTATAATTAATGTTTGACTAATTATTCTAATCAAAATATCACTTGTTATTTTATGTCTTATGGTGTTAAGGTAATATATTGATATATCATAATAAATGATCATGTGATATAATAACGTAATAATGTGACATTTTTACCTTTCACATCAACTTGATATAAATATAAAATGATAAATAATATTTTTAATTAATATTAATTAATGAACTATTAATTATAAGAATTCATTTGATTAAAAATAAAAATACTAGAATTTGATTGAGCATAATAAAAGGATAAAGGTGTATTTAAATTTTTTAAAATAATTTTAAAATTTTTTAAATTATTATTTAAAACTTTAATAGAGAGACATTAGAATTTGATTTATATTCAAAATATAAACTAAAAGGGTAAAATATACTAACTCTCTAAATTTTATCCATAATTCCACATAAGTCAATTAATTTTCAAAATTTACAATTTACTCCAAATATGTAAATAACATTAATAAATAAATATGAAATGTTTAAAATACCATTATCCTTTTTCTAATGTTTTTTACTATTTTATTTTCTCTCAGACTGATTGGCTATACTCTTTTACACTGATTGACCACCTTGCAACCAGATCAAGTTGTGGAATGCTAGATTCGGTGAGAAGTTCCCAGAGGAAGAGGAAGAGGAATTTGACGATGCTCTCTTAGGAGAAAGTGCATCTCGACCCAAGATTTGGTCGAATTTAACACTCTTTGGCTAGATCTAGTCTCGAGGTGGTCGACCGGCGAGAGGTAAAGTAAAAAGATTTTTTTTTGAATAAGAGAAAGAAAATTTTAAAATAAAAAATTATAATTTATATAATTGATAATTTTAAAAATAAATAAAAAATAAAATTATTAAAAAAAATTATCATATCATCAAATTAATAAAAATATTAATAATTATTAGTAATTAAAATTATATATCTAATGAATGATAATCTATCTATCTTAAATACTAATAAACTTGCATAAAATTATAATTAAAATAAAAATTAGTGTATTTATCCAAGCTAAAAACATGCGACAGAATGGGCATCTTCTATACAATAAAGAAAATAGTAGTAGCACGTCGGAAATGTCAACTATGCTAGAGCCTAGTCTATCCATCAGGAGCTTTAATAAAATTACCTTTTGCTCAAATGATTTGGCAATCAACCCACCTAGAGCCTTAAAGTCACATCATTTAATTATTAAAATAATACCACGTTTTTAATAATCAGTTAACGTTAGACGGGCAAAAAAAATCTATATCTATATAAAATTCTACTACACTAGAAATTTAAAAAAGTGATGGGACACAATTATAATGAATCATTGATTGCTTGATTGAGGGAACCAACTGTAGACAAACATGCCAAATTAAATGTGTGACCAAATTTAACAACACCATACGTTAGGCAGCAAGTTTTGATTTTTCTAGTAAGCATTAATATTCAATCATAGGTTAAAAAGAATATAATATTTAATTTATTTAGTAAGCACGGTCTTTCAAGTTAACGTAATTTGTACATAATCAATAAATTGTTAAATTATACATACTATCGAGTGAGAAATTATTATCGATATACATAAGAAAAAGAAAATACTAACATTTAACTTTATTGAATTTGTAGATTCATGCTTCATGGTTTGGGGAGAAAAGGATAAACATAGTTTTATATATATAAAAGTTAATTAGATCAGTTATGAAACAAGGGTAGCTTTGGGACAATGATGAGCTAGCATTTTAACATTGTCAGAATCTTTTCTGTTGTTCTAGTGTCAAATCCTTTCAGCTCCGGTCCATATCTCAGAGCAGGAGCAAGCAACAACAAGACAACAAAACATAATCTTTCTCAACCAGATAGCAATGGCAGATGATCTGATTCAAAACCAAAGAACAGACAACAGTTCTTTTGAAAGTTTGATGGTCATTGTTTACCGATCTAGACTCAAATAACTCACTAGGCAGAAAAGATTTTCAGTTGTGGGGATGCCCAAACCCTTCAATAAAAGAATTAAGCTAAAGACATTGCATACGGAGAATGGATAGCATTTGTTTGCTCGTATCTTCTTCTTTTGATTCTCTTGCATACACACAGATGGTTGTTTAGTCCCTTTCCTATTGCTTAAGTTGCTTGACCTTTTGCTTCATTGTTCCAATTTAACAAAGATAATATGTCAGATGACAAATTGTCAATTTAGTGACATCAAATTCAAACCCTATCAATCAAACCTTCTGTATGTTATTTTTATGAGTATAATATTTTGGTTTATACTGATTTCATATTGAAAGTAGGGTGAAAATACCGTCATAGTACTCCGACCAGAGGATAGTGTGCCATCAACAAATACTGTAAATGTTAAGAATGGAGTGAGAACAAAGCTACAACCTTTAGGCTTATCAGGAATTGAGTGCGAATCATGGTAAGATTGGGTTTTGGGAGTGGGGCTGTTGAGGCATGGAGGCTTGGCTTCCCTTCCTCATGCCGGGGTTTGCATTGCCTATGATGCAGAGGAAATTGGAGGGTGAAAGATTTGGCGGGTTCTAGGGATTGCCAGAAAGAAACGTCATGTAAAAGCTATTGCTAGATTCCATAGGGCATTAACAGTCAAACATAGATGACATATGGGTCCCATCTCTGACATGAGAGAGACTTGTAGGAGCAAAGAGTCGCAGCAGCTTTTTGGTCTGTCTCTTTCCCACCCAAACTAGAAAAGTGGAAAGCGACCGGCGTTATCTCCTCCTCCACATGCTATAGGCTCAAGGCTAAGCATTCAGTGCTCCGGGAAACTGTTTAGCCTTTTAGTAGGTTTATCATCAATTGCAATCAGAGTTGATGACTGTTTTTACAAGGACTTAAGCAGGTTTGCGTTTATGATCCAGGCCTTCATGTTTTGGTATGTTATGGTTGAAACCTGAGAGAATTCCCACCCCCACTCCCCTTCTTTTGAAGGGAATTTGGGTGGTGTGACTGTGTGTGGGTTTCAAACTTCAAGGCATAGACAAGTCCCTTTTGTTTTCAAGGAGTCGTACCAAAGAAGAGAAAGAGCTCTCTCTTGTTATGCTCTTGCCATTCAATTTTGTTAGCTATAGGTCAGGCTCTACTTTTTACCAACCACATGGGGTGCTGATGGGCGCCAATCAGAAACGGGAAAAAGAAAAGTGAAAGGAAATGGCAACAAGACTGGACCAAAAGAGGTTCTCCTTTGTCTATACCAATGGGGTGTTTTGGTTTAGCCTCTCTTAAATGGAAAACAGCTTTGGCCAGTCATATTTTCAATGCCAGCTTATTAAAAACTGTTGTAAGCTTCCCAACTTGGAAGAAGGGATGTCGTTTTTTGTTTCAACTTGCAAGCGCTCCTGGTTTTGCAGTCAAACCAGCGGGTGTTCCCAAAAAGAAAAGAAAGGAATTGTGGCAGGAGGGATGTGTCCACTATTCAATTTGGACGGCCAGCCTTGTGCTGCTGCTATTCGAATTTTGGAACAGGAATTCCCTGGATTAAACTGCCATGCTAAGGCATATGCAATCGAGAAAAGACCTCTCTCACTTCCTTGATGTGAAATCCTCCACTTACACTCAAGTAAAGTAACTACTTGGAATAATAATTTCTACAACATGAAGTAATTGGCAGCTTATTCTTATTGTAAAGGCTTCATCTTGAGATATCATTTTACAACTTTTTTTTTTTGTTTATACTACTATAAAGTTTACAGCAGACTTTTGCTGATGATCATTGTTGAAGCATATACTAACCTTTTTTAGGAAAGAACAATAGAAGAACAAAACTTAAGTCCTAATTACAAAACTTCTGAAGGCTATTTTATTCAGGGTTTTGGAGACTTCATTCGTTTTTTACTGCCCCGTGAAGTACCATTGAAGAGTCGGAGCTTGATCAACTGAGAAGAAATTGCAAAATTCCTCTGCAGTAAGCATACATTGCTCTTCCACTTTCACTAACTGGGGGTGATACATGTTACCCAGAATCACTCTTGAGTCAAATGGTTGAAACCAGCTTTTATGATTTGATGAATCTGAAGATGAAGAAGATCCATTAAATGGAAAAGAAGAAGAAGAAGCTGGTGATATCAATAACTGAGCATTGACATTGCTTTCTTCTTTGACAATTCTATCGGAATCATCATTATTGCCACATAAATCATGGTCTTTGGCGTGTTGTGGAAAATTTGGAGAATCTTCTTTAACAGAGTTGCTGCTTTCTGAATTCTCTTCTTTGAGCTTAGCTTTCAGCTCTTTTAACTGCAATTAAGCATTCAAAATCATGTTAAACTCCAACAATTTTAACTTCTAATTACTGCAATCAAAATTGGGAATAATAAACTATACCTTTAGAGTTAAAGCTTCTTTTTCTTTTTCAAGATTGTTGTAGTCAAGCTTGAGAGAATCGTAACTGGCTTTAAGGATAGCATAGTCTTTCTCCAACTGCTTAGTCTTCCAACGGGCACGGCGATTTTGGAACCAAATAGCTACTTGCCTTGGCTGCAGGCCTAATTCCTCTGCTAATTTCACCTTTCTCTCTGGCTCTAGCTTGTTTTCCACCTCAAAATTCTTCTCCAGGGCCTTAACCTGATCAATGGATAATCGCCTTTTCTTCTCTGTAGCTTGGCCAGCTTCTTCTATACTGTCTTCCTCATCTAAACTATCTAACATTGCCTGGAATTCCCTGCTGTAAACTTGCTTGTTCTTTGAATTCTTCTCCTCTAGAAAATCAAGCAAATTTAACTCATTAACATGGGCTACAAAAATATATATTGCAGAACTTTCATTAATAAACTATTTGGTTGCTGGGAAATCAAGACATATTGACAAATAGGAAAAGATGTACTAAAAAGCGTCCAGGGGGTCTAAGTAAAAGAAGAAAGAGGTGTAGAGTAATAATTGAATTTCTTGTACCTTTAGGTGGGCAGATGGAAATCAAGGCATCCAGGGAGCCTGACGAACTGAGGCGCTTCATAATTTAACCAAAAGCAAGAACCTAAGCTGATCTTTTTTCAAGGCACTGTTTCTGTTGCTGAAGGAGAGAGGGTGCAAACTTTCAAGCAGGTTGCTGTTTTGCTCCCTTAGTTTGATAGGCCATAATTGCAAAGAACACTGCTACTGTGCCACAGAAAAGATAACAAGAATGGAAAAATGTTTTGTACAAAGAGAGACAGAGGGTTCCTTCTTTTAATGCTCCTCAGCCTTGAGTACTTGGAAGAAAGAATTGTGAAGCAAGGTCAAATGGCCTGGAAAGAAATTTAGAGAATTATTTCTGCTCTATAGGAAACAAGTTTCAAGATAAAAAGAAAAATTCTTTCTTAATCAGTTTGTAATCAAAGATAACTATTAGAGACAAAGAGAAGACCTCTGAAAGGAACCTGCTTCACTGGGAGCTGTTATATAAAGGCTTTAATCCTTTAAACTGATGTGAGCCCTGAAGTGATTTTAAAATTTGACATCTAGTTGAAAATTTCCATTTCTCTTTTTAAATATGTCAACTTCACTTGTTCTTTTGGGTCCATTTATCTATTGGCTGTAAACTTATTTGATGAACAATTATGATAAGATGATAATAGCTAATGAATTCTAATGGTGTGCTATCACAAACCATTGTGGTATAAGTATAATTTTACTTTTTGCCTTGTTAACTTTGATCTAAACAAAAGAAAATAACTAAATTCAGTGATTTGGTCTGATTATTTGATTTGAATCTCAACAAAACCGTTTGGTTTCAGCTTCATCTTCATGTTTTTGAAACCAAGCTAAAACATATATACATACAAATGTACTAACAATAAGTATAGTACAAATGATCCAAGAGAATTTTGATCCAACATGGTGCCTCTCAGAGTGAATATCAGCCAATCAAACTAGAAGCTTAAGCTTTCCTTGTCTTTAGAATTGAGGAGCTTATCATTGTGAAGCAAGCAATATATATAAGGTTGTTGATTTGCCTCATCCAACATGGAAAATGGGTCAAATCATTTGGCGGATTAGTCATTTTTATGATCCTTCTGGAGAAAACCCAGAAGAATTCACTGTAAAATGCATTAAACTTGTGGCTATTTGGTTGGAAGAAAATTAGTTTGGTGTAAAACTGCCATGCCCCAAATTTGGAGGCAACATCTTCTTCTATCCTTTCTATTTTGGTTAATAATCTAATCGGTTGCAACTTGCACTTGTCCCGTGATTCAGGTCAGGCATTGTACTGGAGTATTGGGACTCTTCAACAACCAAAACTTGGCCTCACAATGCTTATCATTTAAACATCTTTCTCTGTACCAAAAAGCAGTATGGGTGGAAGGTTTAATATATAAGTTGAGTCAAAGATTTCAGAATTTATCAGAAACATTCTGCTCTTAGAAAACGAAATACTGGAATAATTCCATATAGGAAAATATCAAAGGTTTTGCATTGCTTTTGTTTGAGGCATGTGATATATATATAATCTTATAAACATCAACTAGAAGGATGCACCAATGGTGATAGGATCAATGGAAACACATCTACTTCAATCGAAAACCTACTTTATTCATTAGTAATAATTTGGCTGACTTCTGATCTGAATTTAGCCATGAAAGAATGCTGAAGAGATTGGAGTCCTTAAGTGGGCTCTGTCCCCACCAATGATGTCCATTTCCCATTGAATAGTTCTTGAGTTTTCCTCGCTTTCGTACGGATGCTGCACTAATTTGCATGATTCTTTTCTTTGAAGGAGTCCTAGTCTCCTGACATTCGTGGCTCTTCAGAGAATGCGGCATCATTGCTTGCTTGTTGTGACTGTTTGCTCCTTCCTACACTGTTTCCCAAACATGTTTTTTCAATAAGATTAATTCATGATGCCTACGTCTCACGATTGTTGCCTTTCTTGATTTGAGAAAAGTACGCTTCTTTATAGAAGACATACTTTAATTGGGGAGGTCAGGATTTTTTTCCATCACCTTGTAAGAAAGAAGCTTTCTATTTGGGAACAGTCGTATTGTACCAGGACTTTTCATTTTTCAACAATTGCTTCATCCTGTTAAATCCTCTGATACTGTTTTACAACATTCTATAATTTGAAGGGACTGCGTTTTCCTTGTTAATTGATCTATATCTGTTTAATTATGAGTTGATTTCAACATAAAAAGTCTGGGAAATTGGAGTTGATGCCATCCAGAGTTCCCATCTTGGAGATTGAAACTTGGGTTGCTAATTAAGCAGTCAGGGCTAATTAACATAACATTCCATTAAAGGTTTCATAAAGCAGAACAATCCCATACCACCAATGCATCCAGGCTCCCTAGTCTTTATCTCTGCAACACTGATTTCATCCAATAACACCATACCAAACTCCCCCACAAAGAAAAAAGACGCATTGTCAGTTGACTTGACGTGATCAAATTCAGTTCAAAAAGGCAAATTAGGTTTTGGACAAGAAGGGAACAAAAGAAACTACGACTAATGAACTGTTATTGAAACTATTCAAAGAAGAGCAAAAGAAAATGATAATGGCAATGCAATTCACTTTTAGCACCGACTTCTCATTGCTAGTACATAACAGCTAATTGAGAAGTCGACATCTGTCAACACTCTAAAACAGGTCGGTAGTCAAGCCCACAAATGCCGCTCACCACTAGTACTACCACTCTACAATGCTTAAAGCTGAACAAAATTTAGTTAAAGGCGGGAAGTGGCGAAGATATTTCTGAGGATCTGATTGATTCTGGGTATCCAATTATTAGCCAAAAAGAAACTATGGGTTAAGGAGCTTTCTTTGGGTACACATCACTTTATTTTAGCTTCCAGGGGATCATGGAAATGCCAAGATCTTAGCAGTTGGAGTCCGAATCTCAATTGAAGACCACTCTACATCAATTCAATAAATATGTTCACATGGCATTTGTAGGAACTTGTTTATCAGTATGTATTTTTGAAAGGAGCTTGTTGAGCTAAGGTTTGGATGTCTCAAAAGTGATGGCTAACAAACATCCTTGCATGTAACATCCATGGTTTCTAATTCTAGATGGAAAGTGATGCATGTTTTGTTGTTTTTAGGCTTGTGGGTTTGGAAAGTCAAAAAATATGAAAGAAATTGCTTCAAAGACATGCTGCAAGTGCCACTTTCCTTTAGGCTTATTTGGCCTTACACCAATTATGCTATGCAACAAATTTAATCCAATAATCTTAAGGTATAATGAAACTTTTGCTTGACTGTACTTCACACTAATGCACTAAAAACCTTCTTGATGAGAGGTTTTTATGTACAAGCTTTTCTGTCGTCAAAGATGTATAAGAGATTTGATCCGTTTCAAAAATTCGAAAAGATTGATATCTTAATTAATTAATTAATTAATTACCTTTTGTTGTGTGTTGGAAACTAGTTTCATCTAGTTAGTGGAATAATACACTCCAAAAACCAAATTTTCACTTTAAATTTTATCATTAATCTACTATACATAGATTTTAATCAATTAACTTGATCTTGAAATCTTTCAATTTAGTAGACTAACCTTCAAAATTTTCCACTTAATTAACTATTTCATCAACTTTAATCTATTAATCTTTTTATTTTGAAAATATATCAACATGTGTTAGTTTCGTGTAGGGCACAAACCCCTATAAAAAAGGAGTATGTTTTGAGTCTAATGCTGATAAAAATGGGCAAAGAAAGAATAAGCATTAAAGTGAAGTAGCAATAAAAGGTTAAGTAAGGATAAGGATTTGAAAAGAAGGGATTCCGGTAGGTAGGGTTACTGCCTTCAATGGGTTGCAAGTAGAAAAACAAAAGTGAGAGAGAAAGAGAGAGAGGGGAGGCTTAGGACAATGACGGCAGAGCCCTATAGGCAGAGAGGGGAGGCTTAGGACAATGACGGCGGAGCCCTATAGGCAGAGAGGGGAGAGCAGCTTTAACTTTATTCCTTCTTTTCTATGTTTTTTGGAGATGTCCAAAAGCATAGGATGGCGGGGGGAGGAAGTGAAACCAGAATCTTTGCTTGACTTCCTGCTCTCCAATCTAATCACATGATATAATGTATAGGGAGGTGTTTGTGAGGATTGAGACATAAATTTGCTTAAGAATTTCAAAAGGATGTGTACAATTGCGTGGAAAAGTGTTTGTGAACATGGCAGAGTTCACACTTTTTCCCAAGGTCTGAGTGAAAATTAAATGGCATTTTCCGCATGGATTCTGCTTTCCAACTGGAAAAAGTGTCCTTGTGGTATTTTTCTCTCGTGTCCGAAATGCCATATTCCAGATTCTTTTCACCCCGCTGGCTTATCAGCAATGTGCATTTCAAGAAAGGATAATGAAAGCCAAGCTCAGCGGATTTTGCTCAATCTGTCCCAAGTGAAACGTCAGAACACAATACAGGATTGCAGAATTTGTACTGTTTTCCCCCCAATTACTTCACTAGTGTGCATAAACATAACCCAAACAATGGAGTCGTTTAATTTCACCATTCTTGCACCATTTTCTTGGTGAAAACAACCGCTACATTTTGGCAAGGAGCGACCATGATTAAGATGAGTGAGGATGAGAAAAAGTTGAGCAAACTGAGCTCTGTCATTTCCTGGTTTTCAATTGATAACTCGTGCTAACCTTATCTAGCTTCAGATATACCTATAATTGCCCCCCAAATCTAGAAAACCGAGCTGCATTATTGGGTAACCTCAACTGCAAAAGGCAAATGGGATAAGCCAAACAACCCACAAATTTTGGCTCTAAATTCGTACGGTTATTGAAATAATGTGAGTTGAGAAAGTCAGTCACGCCACTCCTCGTAGAGTTCGCATGGCTAGAGTCGTAGGCAAGGAAGCAACCACATTAAGTTGTGAACCCTCCAAAGAAGCAGCATCAGTTTTGGTCCCAGAAAAAGAAAGCCGAGAGTAAAAGCTACAACCACCAGTCCAAGGGTCGCTGAGCGTGCACACAATGTTTCCATGCAAAAGAAAGGATGCGTGAAACAAATAGGAAAGAAATTTGCAAGTAGCTGTAATTATTTATTAACTGCTTTACCACATTATGTGGTAGAGACATAAAAAAGATTTTACTATAAAGAAGATTCTCATTAAAAAAACAAATAGTATATAGATTATATTCAGTACCCAGTTAACAAAATTTACCTGCAATGGTATGGCAAGTCAATTGATGAAAAAGAGGAAAAAGTAAAATGGTAAAGAGAAAAGAGGAGAAAATCTCTTCAGGAGGGTGAGAATTTCTATAAGCAGCATATCGGCTACAAAATTTATGCTGCTCTAAGTTGTTGCCTGTAAATTAGATTTCTTTGATCTCAATCGCAGAAGACGAAGCAAATAAAAGGCGACCTCATGAATTCAATCTTATATAGTATTTAATTGTAACTCTAATCTTGTGCCGAAGGAACAAGAGAACAGCAGGAGGAGATATCAATTCCAGCAACCTCCATGGCATTGCAGACCCATTCGGGGACATCTCCTTTAGGAAACTGCAAGACAAGAAGGTGCCACAAGGTTCAAATAGTACTTGGTAAATGTTTGTATAAATGATCA